AGTATAGTTTCTCTGAGCCTCAGTTTGCTCATCTGTCAAATGTAGATATTATCAGTACTTTGCAGGATTTTCATGCAGGTGAAAAGAACCCAACTCCAGATCTGACTCATGGTGAAATCTCAGAATTTTATCTCTGTCCTTTCCTTTCCAGGGCCAGGTGGTGGTGTGTGCAGTGCGGTCTCTTGGCCCAGGTGTTGTCACTGGACACTTAGTTCCTCCTGTCCTCTGTTCCCAGCTTTTCCTACCTGTAATTCCAGGTACCCAGGGCTAATTGCCTCCTCCAAGAACAATCCCCAGATTCGTTCCACCTTAAAAAGTCCTTGAGCTCTCACTAGGACAACCAAACAAGAGAACAGAACATTAGAGAAAATTGCTTGTCTAAAATAGACAAATAATTTTCATTCCATCCTTCTCTCTGTGCTCCACTTTATCTGTCTCCTCGCTGTCCCTTTTTCTACATAAGCTAGGCACGAAGGCGATATTATTCTTATAAATTCTCGAGATGGATTACATAATAATCTAGACTGAAAAAAGAAAAGGGAACTGCTTGGTAAATGGACACAAGTCTTTGCAGCTATTTAAAAAGATAAAACCCAGATCATCCGTGCCTTCCAGTACGCAGTGGTAGCTGATTGCCCTTATTCTTGGGTGTTGCAGAGAGAGTCCCAGCTGGGCCTGCTCAGAACTGTGTTGTCCAACTTCCCTGATGATCAGAATCACCTGGGATGTTTATGACATTTGCAGCTTCGTGGGCTCCAGTCTAGACCTTCTGACTCAGATTTTTCAGGGGAGAGGTCTGCACATTTACAAGTGAACATTGTATTTAGGTCTACACATTTACAAATGTGCATTGCGTTTAATGAGTGGCCCTGGATGATTCTTAACTTCAGGAAAATATGGTTGACATTGTTCATAGAGGGAGAAAACCTCAGTAGTTTTCAACCGTAGCTGCACATTAGGGTCTCCTGGGGAGCTTGAAAAGCTCCGATGCCCAGTTACATCAGAATCCCAGTCATCTCGAACCACATTCTGGGGTCATTTGAAAGACCTCTGACATGGACCAAGAGTCCAGGGTTCTGAAAGAGAAAGCCCTGGCTTTGTCACTAATTCACTGGGTAGCATCTCCAGGCCCCAGTTTCCACACATATAAAATGAGGGACATGGACTAGTACAGTGGGAAAATGCTTACTGTCCTGTGTGGCAGTCTGGTTGGTGGGTAGCTACTGCCTGGGTTACAATACTGAGAACTAGGAAGCTAGGACTGGGCTAAACAGGAGAGTGTCATGATGGATTAATGACGTCTGCCACGCGTGCACAGGAGAGGTGTTGGCTCATACATGAACATGCAAGAGCCAGGCATTCTTGGTCATCTGTAAGGTCCTGTTAAGCCTCTGTGACATAATAATCATGAACATAGCACCAGATTCATTGTGATGCATAGTTGAGATAATCTATGCAAATAACACCTTGCAACCTGTGAAGTGCTGTAGAGGCGCCGGCTATTACAATAACAGTGACTATTTTAGTTCTTGAATGCTGCTTCTTCAACACCTTTTAAGGCAGGGTCATGAGTAGCAAGTGGCCTGTCTGGGCCAGGGTGGGGATAAGGTGTTGAGGTCAGAATGCACCATTGGAGGCCAGGCATGGTGGCTCACACCTGTAATCCCAGCACTTTGGGAGGCCGAGGTGGGTGGATCACTTGAGGTCAAGAGTTCGAGACCAGCCTGGCCAACATGGCAAAACACTGTTTCTACTCAAAATAATAATAATAATAACAAGTTAGTCGGGCGTGGTAGTGTGCGCCTGTAATCCCAGTTATTTGGCAGGCTGAAGCAAGAGAATCGCTTGAACCTGGGGGCCAGAGGTTGCAGTGAGCCGAGATCCTGCCACTGCATTCCGGCCTGTGCAGCAGAGTGAGCAAGACTCTATGTAAAAAAAAAAAAAAAGCATCATTGGATGGGTGATCACATGGGATTACAGGAATGAATAAAGCTAGAACTCTTTATTTCAACCTAACTGAGGAGGGAAATGATAGAGGGAAGACAACATATGGAGTTCTAGTTCCAGTTCTAGTACATCTCCGCCCCAACCAGCCTACAGCCCTGAGTCTTTCTACTCTCAGGCAGGATTATACTTAAGGACACCATCCCGCCAGCCATCCACCCATCCGTCCATCCGTCTACCCACTCACCCACCCACCCACCCCTCTACTCATCCACCCAGGCGTTCATCCATTTATCCATTTACCGAGCATTTTCCATGTACCTGGCCTACCTAGGTGCTAAAAGATAGTCAAGGCTGCTATGTTTCACAACTGCAGGGGCAGCGTTTCCACTGTGGTCTTTGCATAGGTCCACCAGACACAGAGTGAATAAGACAGACAAGGTCTTTGCTGGCATGGATCTTTCACGCTAGAGCGGGGACAGAAAATAAACAAGCAAACAAAGTGAATCAGCAAGATCATTTCACATAGTGGTAAGTTCTAAGAAGAAACCGAAACAGGGTGATAGGATGTGACACACAGTAGCAGTTGGGGGATAGGCTGGGACCCCAGTTTGAATGGGATGCCCAGGAAAGGTGATATTGGAGTAAAAATCTGAATAACCAGAAGAAGCTTTCCAAGTGAAGTTCTGAGGATAGAGCGTTATCAGGCAGGCAGAACTCCAAGTGCAAAGGCCCTGCGGTGGGAACGGTGCTGGAAACCAAAAGAAGGCCAGTGCGGCTGTGTTACTAGAAAGGGGGCCCCATCCAAACCCCAAGAAGGGGTTATTGGACCTCAGACAAGAAAGAATTCGGGGCAAATCCATAGAATAGAATGAAAGCAAGTTTATTACAGAATTAAAGACATAGGCAGGGCACGGTGGCTCACGCCTGTAATCCCAGCACTCTGGGAGGCGGAGGCAGGCAGATCACGAGGTCGGGAGATCGAAACCATCCAAGCTAACACTGCGAAATCCTGTCTTTACTAAAAATACAAAAAATTAACTGGGCATGGTGGCAGCTACTCAGGAGGCTGAGGCAGGAGAATCGCTTGAACCCGGGAGGCGGAGGCTGCAGTGAGCTGAGATTGCACCACTGACACAGCGAGACTCTGTCTCAGGAAAAAAAAAGTAGAGAAACAAAACAATGGCAACTCTATAGGCAGAGCAGCAGCATAGGTTGCTCAACTGAGTATACTAATAGTTCATTCTTTCTTTCCTTCTTTCTTTCTTCCTTGACGGAGTTTTGCTCTTGTTGCCCAGGCTGGAGTGCAATGGCATGATCTTGGCTCGCTGCAACCTCCACCACCCGGGTTTAAGGGATTCTCCTGCCTCAGCCTCCCGAGTAGCTGGGAGTATCCTGGAACCGGGGAATACGGAAAAAGAAAGGGAAAAGTTCTGATGTTGAGTCACCGATGCGCACCCTGCCTCAGAGTTTTGTGAGATACAAAATTCACTCAAAACTAGGTTGGGGTGAAATCTCTCGTCTTCAAAGCTGAACACAACCCAATAGCTACGGGCCATGGGTTAGACGCTGTCGCCTAGGGAGTGTGGACAGACCTGCATGTGTGGACCAGGAGGAAGGCTACTGAAAGTTTTCCAAAGAAAGAGCTCTGGGATCCCTGGATGCAGCCATCTTGGCAGTTTTCCTATGTGGAGTCTGGGTCTCTTCTAGTGAAGAGGAAGTGAATGCACTGGAAAAACCTCAGGTCTTTGTGCCAGACCAGCTAGATTTCACAGACTCTGCCATTTGCTCATCGGGGACTTTTGGCAACTTGCTGACCCTCAGTTCCTTCCCCTATTCAAAGGAGGTCACAGTAGCCACATCACAGGGTTGTGTGAAGGTTATGCAGTGTAAGGGCTGTGGGGTGGGGGGCTGGCTTTCCGCCCCTCCCTTCTGCCCTCTGCTTGGTGTTGATAAGCTGCTCTCTCTCAAAGCATATTGAGGGACGCTGAGTCATTTATAAAACTAAAAATGTTAAGTGCTCCCTCAAATCACTGTCTCCAGAGAAGCAGTTGATAGCCAAGCACATTTGTCCCTCCTTTTCATGCGTGGATCACATTTTAGCGTGAAAATAGATTCTTTAATTAGGGGAGAAAGGAGCATCAGCTCCCATCTGCTGACTGCTAAGTGATGACTCACATGGGACAGGGAGGAAGGGATGCTTCTAACACAGGGCCAGGGTGACCGGTGGGATGGCACCCCACCCTGAGAGGTCCCTGAGGGGCAGCCCTGAAGGTGGGAGACACACAGAGCTTTTGCTGGACTGGAAGGTAATTCCTGGAGACGAGGCAGTCCCAGGGGGCCGGGATGCTGATTATGGAGGAGTGAAGCCTGCATAGCTCCTCTCCCGGAAGGGCAGATCGTGAGGTCCCGCCAAGCCTCTGGCACGGTCTTCTTGTTATCTATGACGGACACATTTCTTGGCTGAGTCCAAGTGTCAGCTCTGCCTCTCACCAACTCTGTGACCTGGGCAATGGATTTAATACCCTTGTACTTTTTCTATCCATAAAATAAAATCGGGAGAGTCATGGCTGCTCCAGATATACTCATATCCTGATGGGGAAAGGCAAATGGCATAACTTCTATTGAGGAAAATGTAGTCATTTCTAGTAAAATACGTATTTGCACTTTGACCCAGCAATCCTGGTAGCAGAAAGGGGTCTTGATCTAGACCCCAAGAGTGTTCTTGGCTCTCGCACAAGAAAGAATTCAGGGCAATTCCATAGAGTAAGAAGAAAGTTTACTAGGCAAGTAAAGGAATAAATGAATGGCGATTCCATAGGCAGAGCCATCCCAAGGGCGGCTGGCTGCCCATTTTAGTGGTTATTTCTGGATGACATGCTAAACAAGGGGTGGATTATTCATGCCTCCCGTTTTTAGAGCATATAGGGTAACTTCCTGTTGTTGCCATGGCAATTGTAAACTGTCATGGTGCTGGTGGGAGTGTAGCAGTGAGGATGACCTAAGGTCACTCTGGTCGCCATCTTGGTTTTGGCCAATTTTTTACTACAACCTGTTTTATTAGCAAGGTCTTTATGACCTGTATCTTGTGCCGACGTCCTATCTCATTCTATGATTAAGAATACCTTGCAATGTGCGGCACATAGCTGGGAAGGCCTGGCAGGGGGCGGGCACAAGTCGGAAAAACACCAACCAGGGAATGGGCAACGAGGCTTGCCTTAATTCAGAGGAACTCTAGGACTTGAGAGAGCCATACAATTTGAAAGACGAAGCACCGTTAAATGCAGAAACTTGTGGTTCAGATAGCTCAGCTGATTAATTTCATGTTGCCACAGTTTGTCATGAAACGAGAATAGGTAATTTCAGCCAGGGATGGTGGAATACAGTGGCGCCTTTCAGCTGCTCAGGAGGCTGAGGTAGGAGGATCCTTTGGGCCCAGGAGTTTGAGTCCAGCCTGGGTAACAGCAAAACTTCATCTTTAAAACAGAAAAACAAAAGAGAACATGGACAAAATGGCTGGAGTCCTGTGAGTTCTAGTAATCATCTTATGACAAGAAAGCAACCTTAAGCCACGTGATATGCTAAGGATGAAGGAAGATAGGGTCTAGGTGCCTGATGACAACATGGAGCTGTCACACAAGCCCTGGATTGCCTACCCTGGGACTTCTCATTATGGGAGAAAATGAAACAATTTGTTTAAGCTGCACACACAAAAAAATGCCTTAACTTACTAGGAATGCAGCCCAGCAGGTCTCAGCCTTATTTTACCTAGCCCCTATTCAAGATGAACTTGCTCTAGTTCAAAATGTGTCTGACACTCCTACCCTTTAAGAATCTATCCCAAAATCACAGTGGCAAAAATATACAACATATATACATCAGTCTATTTGATACAGCATGATCTATACTAGGAAAAGGCTGGGCTGGGCGTGGTGGCTCAAGCCTATAATCCCAGCAGTTTGGGAGGCCAAGGCAGGTGGATCACTTGAGGTCAAGAGCTCAAGACCAGCCTGGCCAACATGGTAAAACGCCTTCCCTACTAAAAATACAAAAATTAGCCAGGCACAGTGGTGGGCACCTGTAATCCCAGCTCCTAGGGAGGCTGTGGCAGGAGAATCACTTGAACCCAGGAGGCATAGGTTGCAGTGAGCCGAGATCATGCCACTGCACTCCAGCCTGGGCAGCAGAGTAAGACCCTGTCTCAAAAAAAAAAGAAAAAGGCTGGAAACAACCAAATATCCATCAGTCAGGCTGGTTGAATAAGCTATGATCCATCTATACAATGGATCCATCTCTATAATTGAATAAGCTATGATCCGTCTATACGATGGAGTACTATGTAGCTGCTACAAGGAACAAGGATTATTTCTATGTGTTGCTTTGGGGTGATCACCAGGATGCAGTGTCACATGAAAAAAGTAAGATGGAAAAAATATGTTCAGTATACAGCCATTTATCCAAGAAAGGAGGGAGGGTGCATGTACACACACACACATATGCTCATGCCTATGAACGCACACACACATGCACACACCCCACAGAACTTTTGAATTGGGAGGATATTTTTAACTGGTTACCTGTAGGGAAGGGGAGGTAGACAGTAAGGTGGAAGGGAAAAGACAGAGTCTAGATTTCTCTGAAAGTGGTTCACAGTGCCCTTCCCTCTGGTTTTGTAAATATTTGGAATCTCTCATAATGCAGCTTTTTATTTTTAAATGATTTTCCTTCCTTATTACACTGGCCAGTGGACCCATGGCACGGATCAGAGCCACCACCAACCTAAAGCCTTACCCTGGACTTTTCTGTGAGAAGCAGCAAGCCTTTCCTTGTTTCAATGACTGGATGACATCTAATTGTTCTGCAGTTTAGCCCACCCTAACTAATACGCAATCCCACCATTTCTCTTCCAGGCCTTACCTTGGCCTTTCCTTCCTGGCTCAAAACCTGTGGGTTCACCTCACAGGTGAGCAACCTCCAGCCTGACCTCAAGTCCTTCTTTTACAATCCATTCTCAAGGAGACAGAAGCCAAGCGTCAGCCTCTTCCTTGGCCCCCCTCCCAGGCTCACAAAGGAGTTGGAGGTACACTGGCAGCTCTATATTATTGCTGTCTACTTGTTCTATAAGCAAGGAGACACTTATTTTGGCCCAGTGGCTTTCATTATTCTCCTTCTCCTCCTTTCCCTCCTCCTCCTCCTCTCCTTCCTCCTGGCACCTCCCTCCCCTCCTCACCCTCTTGCCTTCCCACCCTGCTGTTATATGTGACTTCTAATAAGTCTCCTTAAAAGGAAGGCAGGATTTCCTTCTTTTCCCCTACCCCCATCCACTGCCTGAAATGTGTACGCAATGGTTGGAGCTCTAGTAGCCATTTTGGACCCTGAGGACAAGAGTTGCATCTAGAAGTGACAGAGCAGAGAGCTGGGGGAAGCCCAAATCCCTGATAATTCTGTGGCAACGTCACACCACACCAGCTTTAGGCCACGTACTTCTGAACTTCATAAAAAGATGTGATAGTGTGGCCAGGTGCAGTGGCTTGTGCCTATAATCCCGGCACTTTGGGAGGCCAAGGAGGGCAGATCACCTGAGGTCAGGAGTTCGAGACCAGCCTGACCAATATGATGAAACCCCGTTTAACCCCATCTCTACTAAAAATATAGGCCGGGCGCAGTGGCTCACACCTGTAATCCCAGCACTTTGGGAGGCCAAGGCAGGCGGATCACCAGGTCAAGAAATCGAGACCATCCTGGCCAACATGGTGAAACCCCGTCTCTACTGAAAATACAAAAATTAGCTGGGTGTGATGGCACTCGCCTGTGGTCCCAGCTACTTGGGAGGCTGAGGCAGGAGAATCGCTTGAACCCAGGAAGTGGAGGTTGCAGTGAGCCGAGATTGCGCCACTGTACTCCAGCGTGGCAACAGAGCAAGACTCTGTCTCAAAAAAAAAAAAAAATTAGCCAGGCGTGGTGGTGTACGCCGTAATCCCAGCTTCTTGAGGCAGAAGAATCACTTGAATGGGGGAGGTGGAGGCTGCAGTGAGCTGAGATCATGCCCCTGACTGCACTTCAGCGTAGGCGACAGAGACTCCAACTCCAGAAACTAAATAAATAAAAATAAAAGCTGTGATAATGTGAAAGAAATGAACTTTTATCTGTTTAAGCTGTTGTTATTTTACGATTAAAAACAAAACAGTTTAATCTGTCCTAATTGATAAGTCTTTACTCCCCGATAGCAGCTCGGGATTGCCTCTCTACAGGGCCCCAGACTACATTGGGGCCGAAGGAAAATCAGCTGGTTATTGTGAACTGTGCCGAATCTTAGAACTTCTGCCCAGAAGTAAACACGTCGACTCTGCTCACATCATGTTGACCAAAGCAAGTCCCATGGCCACACCTTACGGCAATGGGGTGGGGACACAGAATCCCCTCAAGGGGAAGGACAAGGAATATTTAGAAATAGTAATATAGTCCATCCTGACAGTTGACAAAACCAAGGCCCAGAGAAGCAAAGTGGCTTACCTGAGGTTTTACAGACGAGTAGGCGGCAGAGTTAGAACCCTGGTTGGGGCCGGGTGCGATGGCTCACGCCTGTAATCCCAGCACTTCGGGAGGCTGAGGCGGGCGGATCACCTGAGGTCAGGAGTTTGAGACCAGGCTGGCCAACATGGAGAAACCCCATCTCTACTAAAAATACAAAATTAGCCAGGTGTGGTGGCGGGCGCCTGTAATTCCAGCTACTTGGGAGGCTGAGGCAGGAGAATCGCTTGAACCTGGCAGGCGGAGGTTGCAGTGAGCTGAGACTATGCCGTTACACTCCAGCCTGGGCAACAAGAGTGAAACCCTGTCTCCAAGAAAAAAAGAACCCTGGTCGGGCTGATCTCAACTCTAATGCTCTTTCCTTTTTACTTTACTATGTCTTAAAAGGAACACTTGATTTGGGAACATATAATGGCTTCCGAGAAGGCAGGCGCATTCTCCAAGTGTCTTCTTTGGGGCAGGGCTCTTCCCCGCTTCTGAAGTCAGTACCCACCCCTTGCTTGGCTCCTCCAGATGGTCTGGAAACAATACGGAAAGCAGGCGCTGCTGTCACTGGACTGACGGAGTCTCGCTTAGCTGCCCAGGCAGAGTGCAGTGGTGTGATTTCGGCTCACCACAACCTCTGCCTCCCAGGCTCAAGCCATTCTCCTGCCTTAGCCTCCCGAGTAGCTGGGAATACAGGCACCCACCATCACACCCGGCTCATTTTTGTATTTTTAGTAGAGATGGGTATCACCATGTTGGCCAGGCTGGTCTTGAACTCCTGACCTCAGGTGTTCCATCCTCCTAGGCCTCCCAGAGTGCTAGGATTTACAGGCATGAGACACTGTGCCAGGCCAATATTCTTTATAAAGAAGACGTAGTAAACATAAAGCCTAGTGAACCAAATAATATAACAGGTAAATAAAATATTTAAGGCAAATACTCCTAATAATACTGAGACCTTAATAAAAATGTATGTATGTTGGAAATTTTTTAAATGTCCCTTTAAGAATTTGACAAGTCAAGCAGTTAAAATATGAGCAAAGACTTATAGAATATGAGTGTTCTAATTGATAAGCTTGGTTTAATAGGTATGCTAGAATCATTTGGTTTAATAGATATAGTTTGAGACCAGCCTGGCCAACATGGTAAATCCCCATTTCTACTAAAAAATCACTTGTATTTTTAGTAGAGACGGGGCTTTACCATGTTGGCCAGGCTGGTCTCGAACTCTTGGCTTCAGTAATTCGCCCACCTCAGCCACCCAAAGTGCTGGGATTACAGGCATAAGCCACCATACCTAGCTTGATTACAGTAGTTTTTAACATGTAATAAGACAAGTCTCCTTTTAGTGCTCTTCATCTTCATAATTTGGTTGGTTATTCTGAAACATTTATGGTTTATATTTCCCTTAAAAATCACTCCTTCCCTCTTCAAAAGACTGTTGAAGATATCATTGAAATTGCATTAAATGTATAAATTAATCTGGAAGAATTGATGGTTTTATGCTATCAGGCCTTCCATTCTATTTTTTCTTGTTTAGAATTGACTTTGGTAGCTGTGTCATGAATATTAAAATATATATACATAATAGACTAAAAAGGTCAGAGGCAGTGGCTCACGCCTGTAATCCCAGCACTTTGGGAGGCTGAGGTGAGTGGATCACAAGGTCAGGAGTTTGAGACCAGCCTGGCCAATATGGCCAATATTCAGTTGTAATTTTCAACTCCAGCATTTAGTTATTTTTAATATATAATTTGTTTCTTTATTGAAATTCTCTGTTAAGCATTGTTCTTATACTTTCCTTTAGTTCTTTAGTTGTGGTTTCCTTCAGTTCTTGAGCATATTTAGAACATCTGATTTAGGCCAGGCATGGTAGCTTACACCTGTAATCCTAGCACTTTGGGAGGCGGAGGTGGGTAGGTCGTTTGAGCCCAGGAGTTTAAGACCAGCCTTGGCAACATAGTGGGATCCTGTCTCTACAAAAAATATATGTATATATATAATAATTAGCCAGGCATGGTGGTGTACATCTGTAGTCCCAACTGCTCAGGAGGTTGAGGTGGGAGGATTGCTTGAGCCCAGGAGGTAGAGGCTGTCAGGAGCTGTGATCGCACCACTGCACTCCAGCCTGGGCAACAGAGCAAGACCCTGTCTCAAAAAATAATTACATTAAAATAAAATAACTGACTTAAAGTTTTTATCTAGTAAGTGCAATATGTGGACTCCTCAGCAAAAGTTTCCATTAATGACATCTTTCGTGTGTATAGGCCATACTTTATTTTTACACGTCTCATGATTTTTGTTGAAAACAGACATTTTAAATAATATAATGTGGCAACGCTGGAAATCAGATTCTCCTTTCCAGGGTTTGTTATCATTGCTATTTGTTTAATGAATTTCTTGACCGAATTCTATAAAGTCTGCTTATATTCCTTCTCACATGTGGCCACTGAAGTTTCTGATCATTTAGCTTACTGGCCAGCTAATGACTGGACAGATATTTCCTTAAATGCCTGGAACCAGAAAGTCTCCCAGTCTTTGCCAGGGACTCTGTGTGAGTTTGGGGCATGCTTCAATGCTCAGCCAAACAGCTTCAAATACTATCTTAATCTTTACTTTTTGCTTGCACAGTTTCAAGGCCAGTCAGAGGTGAGGGCTGAGGGCCTTCTCAAGTCTTCTTTGAGCATGTTCATAGCCCTGGGCACATGCGTGGCCGTTTAGAGTCCCAGGAATATATCGGAGTTCTTCCCAGCCCCCTAAGAATATCTCATTCCTCAATTTTTCCTTTTAAGTTTTTTAGTTACTTCATTGTTTGCCCTGTAATCACTGCCTCAGACAGCTCTGATATTAAGCAATAGCTACTGGGCCAGGTGCTGTGGCTCATGCCTGTAACCCCAACACTTTGGGAGGCCGAGGCGGGTGGATCATGACATCAGGAGATCAAGACCATCTTGGCCAACACGGTGAAACCCCCTCTACAAAAAATACAAAAATTAGCCTGGCATGGTGGCACATGCCTGTAGTCCCAGCTCAGGAGGCTGAGGCAGGAGAATTGCTTGAACCCGGGAGGTAGAGGTTGCAGCGAGCTGGGATCATGCCACTACACTCCAGCCTGGCAACAGAGTGAGACTCCATCTCAAAAAAAAAAAAAAATTAGCTGGGCATGGTGGTGCGCACCTGTAATCCCAGCTGCTTGGGAGGCTGAGGCAGGAGAATCGGCTGAATGTAGGAGCCAGAAGTTGCACTAAGCCAAGATGATGCCACTGCACTCCAGCCTGGGCTACAGTGTGAAACTCTGTCTCAAAATAATAATAATAATAATAATAATAATAATAATAAATAGCTACTGATTATTTTTGACAAATTCCCTCAGGAAAAAGGCTTTTGGTACTGAGCACGTTCTACATCAGGACAAATAGAGAGAGCCTTGCCAAGTGGGGTTTTCCAGACCACTGACGAACAATTCAAATAGGACCATTCTCTGGGAAGGGGCTTTGAAAGGGTGCCATTCCCCGTTCTAACACCTCCAGTAGCTGGAAGGGTGCTGACTTTTACCATGTTTATAGCCTGTTAGTTCCCAAGGTTGCCATGAAGCTGGGGAGAAGAGAATGGGAATAGCACAAGTTAATACCCAATTTATTTTTTTCCACATGGCTATTCATTGTCCAAATAGTATTTATTGCAAAATCTGTCTTCCCACCTGTCTCCCTCAATTTGCACAATGCTTACTTATATACTGTACTAAATTCTCGTAAGAATTAAGTTCTCCTTTTGGACTTCCTGGTTTGTTCTCTAAGTTTGTCTATCTGTTCATATGCCAGTACCATATTGTTTTAATTATGAAGGCTTTGAATTATATTAAAACAGCCAGTAAGAATATTACTCTTTCATTGTTTTCCTTTCGTGCAGTTTTCCTGCTTGTCCTTGCTTGTCTATTTCTCTGTACGAGCTTTCAGAATCAACTTCTGTCATTAAAAAAAACATTGCTTGTGTTTTTATTTAATTTGCACTGAATTTATAAGTTAATTATATATGAAGACCTTGTCTTTATTAGAAAAACAAAAAGGAAATAAATAAAAAAGAGATCACAGTAGGAATTAGAAACTTTTTTAAACTGAGTAAGACAAAAATACTGCATATCAAAAGTTGTGGGACGCAAAGACACGCTTAAAGAAAAATTTAAAACTTTAAATGAACATACAAATGCTCCTGGATTATAAGGTTACATTCTCATAAACTCATCATAAGTTGAAAATATTGTAAGTAAAAAATACATTTAATACACCTAAACTACTGAACATCATAGCTTAGCCTGGCCTGTTTTATGCGTGTTTGGAACACTTACATTAGCCTACAATTGGGCGAAATCACCCGGCAGCAGAACACAGCGTAGAATAACCCGTGTTTACCCTCAGGATTATGTGGCTGACGAAGCTGCAGTTTACTGCCACTGCCCAGCCTCGCAAGAGTATTGTAGGGCATGTTTCCAGCCTGGGAAAAGACCAAATTCAAAATTTGAAGCACAGTTTCTACTGAATGCATATTGCTTTTCACCCTTGTAAGGTTGAAAAATCGTAAGTAAAACCATTGTAAGTTGGGAACCATCTGTATTAGAAAAGAAAAAAGACTGAAAAACCAAAATGGTAAGCGTTTCATCTCGAGATGTCAACAGCAGAACAACAAATTGAACGCAAAGAAAGTAGAAAGAAGAAAGTAATAAAAAGCGGAAACTAAATGAAATTTAGAAAACCAACATATCCTAGAGTATCAATAAACTAAATGGTTATGTCTTTGAAAGAATGAGGCCAGGCATGATGACTCATTGCCTGTAGTAACAGCACTTTGGGAGGCCACAGCAAGAGGATTGCTTGAGGTCAGGAGCTTGAGACCAGCCTGGGCAACTTAGTGAGACCCACCTCTCTACAAAAATTAAAAAATTAGCTGGACATGGTGGTGAGTGCCTGTAGTCCCATCTACTCAGGTGGATGACGCAGGAGGATCACCTTAGCCCAGGAAGTTGAGGCTGTAGTGAGCCATGATCATGCCACTATACTCTAGGCTGGACAGCAGAACAAGACCTTGTCTCAAACAAAAAAAGAAAGAATGGAAGGGACTGATAAATCCCAAGCAAGATTGACAAGAAAGATAGAAATACAGAAAAAGACATAAATAATGAATGGCAGCAATGAAAATGGAAATCTCACCATAGATTTCACAGACATTAAAAAGATAAGAAAAAAAGATGTGAACAACTTTATACCAATAAACTTGAAAAATTAAACCAAGTGGGCCAGGCGCGGTGGCTCACATCTGTAATCCCAGCACTTTGGGAAGCACTCAGGGCGGGTCACCTGAGGTCGGGAGTTTGAGACCAGCCTGACCAACAGGGAGAAATCCCATCTCTACTAAAAATACAAAATTATTCGGGTGTGGTGGTGCATGCCTGCAATCCCAGCTACTCAGGAGGCTGAGGCAGGAGAGTCACTTGACCGGGAGGCAGAGGTTGTGGTGAGCTGAGATGGTGCCGTTGCCCTCCAGCCTAGGCAACAAGAGTGAAACTCTGTCTAAAAAAACAAAACAAAACAAAACAAAACAAAAACTAAATTAAATGTACAAATTCCTTGGAAAACACAAGTTAGTAAAAGTGACATAAGAAATAGAAAATCTGAATAGTCATATAACTATAAAACACATTTAATGCATAATTTAAAGTCAATTGACAAAGAAAACTGCAGGCCTAGATAACTTTACTAGCAAATTCTGCCAAACACCTAAGGAAGAAACAGTGCTGATCTTGAAAATTCTTCCAGAGAGGTTTAACAGCCCGGAAACGGAAGTCTCTTTCTTTTTCGTCCTCTTTCCCGGTTGCTGCTCACTGTCTGGGTCCGCGCCTGCTCCCAGCGCATCTTGTCACCATGCCTCAGAAAATCGAGGAAATCAAGGACTTTCTGCTCACAGCCCGACAAAAGGATGCCAAATCTGTCAAGATCAAGAAAAATAAGGACAGGGTGAAGTTTAAAGTTTGATGCAGCAGATACCTTTACACCCTGGTCATCACTGACAGAGAGAAGGCAGAGAAACTGAAGCAGTCCCTGCCCCCTGGTTTGGCCATAAAGGAACTGAAATGAACCAGACACACTGATGTGACTGCATTAAAATACTGAAAAAAAAAAAAAAAAAAAAGAAAATTATTCCAGAGAATAAAATAAGAGATATTATTTCCCAACTTATTCTGTGAAGCCAGCAAGAATTTTACAATCTACCTGAAGATTTGGTGAAAGGAAAATTATAGGTCGATCCCAATCATGAATATAAGTGCAAAAATTCTAAGCAAAATATTTCCAAGCCGATTTATGAATGACCAAGCTGGATTTCTTCTAGGAATGCAAAGTTGGTTTAAACATCTGAAAATTAATCAACATAACTTATCACATCAACAGCATAAAGGATACAAGCCATATTAAGATCTCAATACATAGAAGGAAGAGAGTTGTTTTGATAAAATTTAACATTCATTCATGAGTCTTTTTTTTTTTTTTTTTTTTTTGGAGAGACAGGGTCTCACTATCTTCCCCAAGCTGGTCTCAAACTCCCAGCCTCAAGCAATTCTCCTGCCTTGGTCTCCCAAACTGCTGGGTGTGAACTACTGTACCTGGCATCTTTCATGACTCTTAGCAAACCAGGGTTGGAAAATAACTTCCTTAACTTCAGAAGGGCATCTTAATAAAACCTATAGTAATTTTGGTATGTAATGGTAAAATGTTGAAAACTTTCCCTTTGAGATCAGGAACAAAATAAAGATGCTTGTTATCACCAATTTTGTTTAACATTGTGTTGGCTTCGTGCAGTAGACAAGAAATCATTGAAAATAAAGAAAAAAAACTGTCATTATTTGCATATAATACATGATGTATGGAAAATTCAACACAGTAAAATCCATAAAGAAAAGCAAGGTAAGTTTTTTGTTTTGAGATGGAGTTTCGCTCTTGTTGCCCAGGCTGGAGTGCAATGGCCCTATCTCGGCTCACTGCAGCCTCTGCCTCATGGGTTCAGTCAATTCTTCTGTTTCAGCCTCCCAAGTAGCTGGGATTACAGGCGTGTGCCACCACGCCTGACTAATTTTGTACTTTTTAGTAGAGACGGGGTTTTTCCATGTTGGTCAAGCTGGTCTCGAACTCCTGACCTCAAGTGGTCCACTCGCCTTCGCCTCCCAAAATGCTGGAATTACAGGTGTGAGCCACTGTACCCTGTCCAGTTTTAAATAAGTTTAGTGAGGTATTAGAAACGAGCTCAAAATACCATTCCATTTCTATGTTTTAAGAAAAAACATGAAATAAAATAGTTGCCATATACAATAGCATAAAAATATAAAATACCTAAGAATAAATCTAATGAAATATGTTACAAAGTAAATCTAGAAGAATGGGGAGATATTGTCAATGGGAAGTTATCTTAATTTGGGGTCCTAAATTTTGACTGGGAAGACACAGGATCAGTGAGGATAGGATAAGTAATGCTGCAGTAACAATATAACTCCAAATTGCAGTGCCTTCAGGCAACAATGCTGATGTCCCACTCCTGGGTCCACCTACTGCACAGCATGTATCTTCCTCCTTCTGGGACCCAGGATGAGAGAACAACCCCTCACCTGGAGCATGGCTGGTCACTCTGGCAGGAGGAAACAGAGTAAGGCGAGCCACATGTTGGCTCAGAAAACGTCACCCAGGAGTGACAGAGCAAGTCTCATGGCCAAGCTTAACTTCAACAATAGTGGGCAAGTACAATCCTCCCATGCTTAGGAAGAATGAGGAGCCAGGAATGGGTGGTGACCAGAACTAATGGCCTCCACAGACCTAGTCGGCCAGCCATCTTGGGTGGCAGTGCAACCTTGTCCAAGCAGGCTTTGGCAAGAAGAATGTTGGCACCGATTCAGCACCTGATCGGGGTCCCAGGAGTAGGGACAAGTCAGAAGCTTGAACTAGACTAGCCCATGGCTAGGGATAAAGAGCGAGGGCAGTATTTTTCCTCACTCCCCCTTTCTCCATGCCTGTCCTTCCTCGTCCTCACTGCCTCTGCTTCTCCTCACTTCTCATCCTCCTCTTTCCCAGCCCTCATGGATTTAAGGCTCTGAAGTGATGTATACCTGTTTTTACTTAGTATTGCCTTTGGAAGCCTCTATACCTCAAACCACCACCAAGAGCCAGGTGCAGTGGCTCAGCCTGTAATCCCAGCACTTCGGGAGGCCAAGGTGGGCGGATCACTTGAGGTCAGGAGTTCGAGACCAGCCTGGCTAACATGGTGAAACC